ATTACTGTTATTATTAATTATGTGCTGTTTACGGTCAATTTGTGCAAAATTTGTTATCCACACCGTATTTTTGATCCACACTTTTTTACGCCAATCCATCATCGCGTTTTGCACTACGAGTTGAGTATCGATCACCAGAAACAAATTAGAAAGAAGGGAACAACAAGATATACAAGAAAGAGAGGATACATATATATCGAGTACATGATTGTGTAAAATGAAAACGAACGAATCAAACACTACACCCACCGTTAAACTATAATACGACATTTTGCTTCATGTTTTCTCTGTCCCTCTTTGATTGATCACTATGCGTTTATATAAAACGCTGTTCTTGAAGAGGGTTAAATTAAAAAAAGTGGCATTCGAACCCCCGATTGCGTGTCTCACGATTCCGTCGACGAATGCGTAAAGTGCCCCCACGTGAAAACTGCGAGTAGAAGTTTCTGGATACGAGAGAGACTGTGTGTTGTGATCAACTACGATCGGTATCGATCACGTTCTACGATCTCCAGCTATCTCATAATTAAATGGATCTCTAAACGAACGTCGATGTCTTTTAGGAGAGCAATTGTGTCATACTACGAATGCACATGAATACGTGCGTTGCCCGTTTGTTTTCCTTTACAAATCGTTCTTTCGCACGGCGCATACATGGAATATATTCTTATGTTCTACGAGAGGACGAAAAGAAAGAACGAAACAGAAAATGAATAGAAAAGGAGAATGATTAGAAAGAAAGAGCAAAAACGAAAAGAAAGATTATAGAAGAAAGGAAAAAAGAAAGGACAAGGAACTTGAACTCCCACTGCCTAAACCGATCTTGCTCCTTCTGTTTTCTGCTCCCTCTCTGTCTCTCTGTCTGTCTGTCTCTCTCTCTGTCTCTCTATCATTCTCAAATAATTGTTATAAATAACTCTGTCTATTTCTACTGTTTCTACGATAACAACTCAGAACGTTTGATGACTGCAACCAAGAAAAAGAAGAAAAATTTGACCAATTCTTTCGTTTTCCACCTCTATTTTTCGGCAACTTTCCTTTCTCTTCTTACGTTCTTCCGTTTTTCAATCTGTCTCTCTCTCTTTCTTCTCTCTCTCTCTCTCTCTTCTCTCTCTCTAATTTTTATTCTGTCTCTTCCTCTCACACTGTCTCTCTTCTCTCTTTCTCTCTCATTCTCTTTCTTTCTATACTTTCTGTCTCTCTGTTCTTTACTACGAATCTCTTTGATAACCTGGCCCTTTTCTTACTACGTCTTGCTATGTCCCGCTTTCTTTTGTTTCTAGATATTGCAGAACCTACAAAAAAAACGCACTGAGCGGAGGGGGCGCCTAAGTTCTGACAATATGACTAAAAAGAAGTCCGGTTTCAGCAAAAGCGACCTTATTTTTAAGGTAACCCGCCCTAACGAAATGCGCGAGCTCGCGTCCGCTCGGGGTTCGCGAGTCGTCGTCGAACCCGCCTCGAGACCACCTTACCTCCCGTTTTCAAGAGACCTCGAGCGAACCACGCCGGCCCCCCGGCCTTCTAGCGTTCACCCGATCCGACCATCGGAGCAGATGCTTTCGCATCCGTTCGAATCCCGAGATCCAGCTCGTCTCGCGTTTCTAATCAGTCAGGGAGCGTGTAATCGATATCGGCCGACGGTTTGTCGCTAGGAAAACGATTTGCCTAGTTCGGCGAGAATAGAAACGGATGAGTCCCGCGAACAGAGGAGAAAAGTAGAAGTCGAGCAGGTGTGTCGTTCGATCGATGTCTCGTGGAACAGGAAGAGCGATCACGAGGAGGCTGGACGCAGGAGCTGTACGCTGATTGGCTCGTTGGTTTATTACAAACATTCGCTTCTACAATACTTTCCGCCGCATTATACATTACATATTACCCGCAGCAATAGGCTATGCTTCTTATACATTCACCATCGGCACCCGCCTAGCGATGAGAAAGTACCAACGTGTATTTTTTATCATATACCTTTATATATATATACATATATATATATATATACATGCATACATTTATTGTGTGTGACGTTACTATACATAGTATGATGTACCTTTAGTGAAACTTCACCGACCGACTCCATGCTCGTGAAAATAAAAGAAAAATATAGAAGAAAATTGATTGTCATTAGAGAGAAATGTTGAGAAAACGCCCTGCTCTATCGAGAAAGCCGGTGCTGATTCTCTTTGACTACTTTTCAAGAGATCTGTTATCTCGTTATCGAAGTTAGCGAACTACTCGTCCCCGTGCGTGAAAGAGAAAAATATCACGATAAGGATTGATATTAATGATGTTAATCGTGGATCCCTCCTTTCTCTTTCTCTACTTGTCTGTCACTTCTCTGCCTCTAACTTTAAACTTTAAATCTTTCTCTTTCCCTTTCTGTCTCTCTCTTTCTATCTCTCTCTCTCTCTCTTTGTCTGTCTGTCACGTCAGTTCGTCTAATTTATCGCTACCCTTTACGAACTTTCCAATTCTCCGTTTTAATATGCGATTCTATTCTTTCCAATTGGCCCAGACTTCATCTGTTCCTCTTTCTCTCGATTTTCTTCCTACCCAATGTCACCTTGTGATCACGTATTCCGTGTCCCATAGGACTTCGTCAAAGCTCCCTAATGGCTCCCTATATAGTTCCATGACTTATATAGATAGACACGTATGATTCGACGAGACGAAAGAACAAACGGCCGAAAGCCCATCGTCCACGCACTTCGTCTCTTTCTGAAACGCTTTTTTGATCGCTAGACGGTGTGCACGATCCTTTGGAAACGAGCGCACGTTGATTGGGCGTCCCTTCTCTGTCGCTTTGTTGCAAATCGCACCACTGTGCCCGCTGTTAGCGATGGGTTCTCGCGCGAAACTCTCTATTACCCTTATTATACCTTTAACGATCATTCTTGCTCGAATTGCTTTGGATACTTGGGAACGTGTTTGGGATCCGGCGGAAACGATAAAACGTCTGTAGACGGAAACCCCGTAACAGTACACCGAAACGTTTTTTTAGGAACGTGTATATCTTTTGGATTTTTCATAGGTTTAGCCTTGTGACTTTAAAAGTATTGAATAGTATCGATTTCTTCGTTTTGCAAGATTAGTGAAAATTGATTACAGTAAAACTTGGTTATACCTAAATAGTTATGGAATTTTATTTTCTGGTCTGACGAACTTTTGGAAAGAAACGTAGTAGATGATGAAGAAAAGTAGTGGTAGAAGTAGACGGTAGAAGGAAAGATTGATCTTTTCTACTTAGAGTAAGTTAATATTGTGTTGTTGAGTGTACGAAACCGTTGCCGATGTACCTGTCGTAATAATTAGACCTTTCTTTTCAGATATAGCAAAATGAAGTGACGATAGATAATAGCGAACCTTTTCGACCTACGATTCGAAACACTTAATCGACAATTTTTTCAGTATATCGCTTTACGTATACTTCCCGTAAGTATCTTTCCGCTCCGTCTCAAACTTTCCTATCAAAGAAGAAGAGCCAAAGATTATATACGTAATGGCCTATCCAAAGTTGAAAGATCTCTTGATATAAAACATTTTATCTAATCATAATCTTAATAAAACTACCCTGAGAACGTTAAACGCTTTTCGCGCGTATCTGAAATCTCTATGGCATAATACAGAAGCGATTCGAGACTCGTGTCACGTGTTCTATACAGTGATTCGAGACGATCCGAGGCGTGTCGAGCCCATCGCTAGCTTATCGCTCATATATATATACATATATATATATATATGTATGTATGTATGTATGTATGTATAGAACCCATCCTACTCCCGGAGAACCGACGTTCGCCAATCTTCTACCCCCACAAATGGTCCATGTGTCCCGAGCTTACCACCCGTTTGTACGAGGCGCATCGCTGTTCTTTTCCTACATAGATGAGAGTAACGAAAACGGAAATGAAACGAAGCAGAAAGGAAACGGAATAACAATTAGGGCCGCATTGTACGAGAGTAGAGAGCTCGCTACTACTCGCAGCCGCTCTACTCTGGCGACCTTCACCGTCTCTCGACTCCCTTCTCTCTCTCATTTTCTCTCTCTCTTTTTCTCTCTCTCTGTTTCTCTTTCTCTTTTCTCTCTCTCTGTCTCTGTCTCTCTCTCTCTCTTTCCCGCCACCTTATAGACCCTTGAACCTCTGTTGCTTCTCGGCCAAGAAAAATGCACCCCTTTGTGATACTGGCTGGCTATCTGTTGTGTGGCTGCAAGCAGGCGCAGAGAAACAGAAAAGACCGTAGCATTTAAAAGAAAAAGAAAAACAGCAAAAAAAAATGAAACGATAGCGGGAGGAAGAGGTGGTGCTTGCTTCTCGTTGCTTCAAAGCCTGGCTTTTTCGCCGCTTGATGATTATTTGACTTGGCAGCTGGCGTTTCTTTTTACGTTCTCTGTCTCTCGCTCTTCATAACACTATCTGTTTCTCTCTTACTTTTTCTGTCCACCTATCTGTCTTTATTATTTTCTTTTTTTTGTTCCCGTTCGTTACTCTTGCGTTTCCTACCTCTTTTCCGTTCCGTACGTTCAATTTCCCAATTAATATATCTTTTTCGTCTGCACCTTTCTCGCTTTATTTGTCCATTGATTCGTTCCATTCGTTTTGGGTTTTGTTCTCGCGTTGTTTCCTTCCCACCGCGGTTTAATTGCCTGAAAAACTTTCAGATTGATGACAATTATCGATCGTGCTCCTCGATACCGATATCGGCCATTTGATTTCTCGTTTTCCGCCACCCTTCCTCCTTATTCGACTTCTTCCCATTTTTCGTTCGTTCTTTCGTTTGTCTCTCTTCTTTGATTTCTGTGTTGATTTGATTGATTAGTAACGCTGTTGTTGCCACACCTGTACGCGACATCCGAGCGCGTGCACCGGCGCGCGTGCACGCTCGCGGATGCGCGTGCTTGTATAAAATACTACAAACGCCATATCGTTTCTTTTTTTTTTTTTCTTACTCGTCGATGATCATAATTAGCTGTTCACTTGTATCATCCGTGGAGAGTTGTGTTTACGACAAACGCTTATACGTCTTTTTGGACTTGTGACTGTCTCTTGTAGAACAGAAGGTTGTTGATGTTCAATTACTTCAGTGTACAATGTATATGTATATCGTTCCTTTGTTTGTGTCTCGTTACCAGATCTTTTCCCATATGTTTTTTTTTTTGTCTTTTGTTACGACTAATGATTCGAGTCCATGCGTACGCATATCCACTGTGCGCGCGCTCCCATGCGTGAAATACTACATACGTATTGTACGCTCGCTTGCACTCGAGTGCGATATATAACAGTTATATATCCATATATATGTGAAAAACAGTTTGCAACCTAAAGAAACGAACGAGATGTATATGTATATATATATATATATATATATATATATATATATATATACACCCCTAACGTCGCGTGTGCCGTTCATAGCGCGCGCGTTCCTGCGTTTATGTGTACAGCATGAGAATACGATATACGATGTTTGTTAGTTTGTTCCTTCGTTTGTTTGTTTTTTCGACATTATTTTCAACGCCAGGTAATGTATTTATTGAAACTAGTTGTGGTTCTAGCAGTAAGTTCTCATCGCCCTGTTTTCTTGTCTCTTTTTGTTTTCTGTATCCAGTACCGTCCAGTAGGCGCAGAAACAATACACCGTGACTTATCTGCAATCATGGTTTTACTATCATGATATACCTACGCGCGTCGTTTCCATTCTAACCGGATTCTGCGCGCTTTGTGTTACTGTTACGAGATCGAATGGCCATCCAAGGATTACACCTGCGCGCATCCACGGTCCTACCAACTCTGGACGTTGCTATGCCGTGCAGAATGCGGAATCAGAAATCAGAATCATTGATCGAACGATATCGAATCCTCGTTGCCATTCGATTTCAAGATCGATACGCGCCATGATAGCCCGATATTCGGATTCAATGAAGTGTTCATTACTGGTCTGTTACCTAAGTGCGTTACGCATTGGCACACGCTATCTGTGAAATTAATATTCCTCCAAAAGTAAAATAGTCAATGATTCATTTATTTTAATAAAAATTTAGCATGATGTAGCTGTTTGGTGTTTAAAAGTATCGGATTTTATGAAAATTATTCGAAGTTCTTTAGAGACTGAAAATTGGCAGGTGCGCTTCCTGCAAAATCCGTTATATAACGTAACGTTTTTATAAACTAACATTGTATTCATGCTACGCTCTTGAATAATGTGATACCAATCGCATTTTACGCTATTATATACTCGTTTTCATATCACTGTATTATTCTGTAGTTTAAAATAAACATAAATCTTAGATTATATCCCACAAACTTGAAATATCTTTTGAATTAAAAATAATCATTCTTTGTATACTTCCCTGATAATTCTCTTGAACGCATTAGTTATTAATATAATCTTTCATTGTCTAAAGATAACTGCAATACGTCGCCCTTCCCTGTTTCATTAATATGAAGAACAATCACTACTATAATTTTTAATAAAGCAAAATCAAGTTTTCTTTCAATTCAACTCTTCCGGTACTTCTGATTAGCGGCAAGTTTTCATTATCAACGTACCAATGTCGCAAACTACCACAGATAACGTGTTTCGATGCGGTCTAGAATTTACCGAGAGAAGATGGAGGAAGTTTGGGTAAGGGCTCGGTGAATTCGAGCGACACTAAGAACGAGAAGAGTCCTGGAGGCTTGACTGAGTATCGGGCCGTCGCGAACGATCTAAATTAAAAAAGTTGAGTCGCGATCGGCCGCGGTTTACGGGGTCAAAGATCATTTAACGCGATCGGGCTTCCTTTTTGGCGGGCGTGCTCGAGCGCGTTTCGACACGGGAAACCGGGAAACGCGCACGACCGCGCCGCCGGTACGTGTGCTATTGTATGTAAATACACACGAATACGCACATCATCGAACCCCTTGGTACCGATCCTTAGTCTAGAACCCCGATCGATTGGAGACCGTAGAGAGCACTCTCGGTGGGACTTCAGAGAGCCAGGCCAACTGTTAATTTGATCTTTCTTTTTCATCACTTTTACCCTTCCCCCTTTTCGTTAATTCGGTGTTGATTGATGAATTTCGGGGAAAAATTGAGAAACTGATGAGATATAATCTTATTCCTACGCAGGATCTTTGCATAATTTATGATCCAAATGATAGATAATTGCTCATTTTAACTCTGTGAGCCGACGAGTTATGCGATTAAAAGAAATATCTATTAAATCTCAGTTGTATAACAAAATTCTACAAACTATAAAAAGATTTCATGTTTCTGTTTTCACTTATCGATCACGTGTTTCGCGATGAATAGTCCGCTTGTTTATCGCAACCGGTTTAGTAACGTTGTGGGCGATCGTAAAGAATTTCGTCCGCGTTGCACGCATTTATGGAAAAAAAACGTGGTCGACACGACTTTATATGCTTTTCTGAAAGTCAAATCACGTACGTCCGGCTAAATCGCATGAATAACGCGATGAAAGATACACTCCGTCGAAATTTCGACGCAAATGTTCGGTCTCGAAGCGGAAAAACGTAGTTTTATGTAGTATTCGCCGTCGCTAATGTATCTTTAATCGATCCCGATAAATCTCTCATTGACATGTACAATTAGCCGCGTTGCCGTTTAATTCACGATCAAGTAGCAAACAAAACCGATGGCGGTGTGCGCGCGAATTGAAAATCGGATTCGGATTTCGTTTAAATAACGAAAGCCATTCAAGGAATTCTATCGTGAATTAATTATTGCTAGAGTTTTCATCGGATTCCTCACGTTTGGTAAATATTTTTCGAATTCAGTTAATCGCGTCTTGTTACGATCTATTTACAGAATTTCTCGAATTCGTTTGACAAACTGTTTCGAGAACAGTGTCAATATTTCCCCGGAACGTTTAGACCAATAATTGAAATGCGTGTTTGTTGAATAAATTGAATATTGCTGATTAATAATGCATTACAAAAATTTATGGTACATCACAATATGTTTATTTCTTTTGTCATTTGGGAAAATTTTTTTTAGACGAGCTCTCCGAACCTTAGAATGGTTTCTACGTTCTCCAGCTTTTTTTATTAGCGAAGACTCGGATTCCCATATCGTGCTTATGGCGCGCTGTTCAGTCGAACAGTTTACAGTTGACGATCGTCGATTGAAAACTTGTGATATTTTAATTCAATTGAACGGGAGAGAACCTGCCCTGAACAGTTGCCCGGTCCATAAGCGGGTCTGAGAATCTTGGCCTAAAACCAGTGCAAATGACTGATACGTACATATATATATTGTATACATTCTTTCTGTTTCTTCTGTTTAGAGCATTCGTAGAGTAATCATTATTCTAAACGTTCTTTAGGTTACATTGACTTGTGTTATTTTGTGTGCCACGTGATGCGTATTTTCTAATGTAGCATGCTTTTTTGAACTGAAAACTGAAACCTGGAAGTATGAAACAGCGAAGATTTACTTAGGAGAGAAAATACTGAGATCGTTCGCGTTCAGACCCGAAATTTAATCTTCTTCATATTAGAATTGTATAAATTATTAGCATAATAATAATTAAGAAAGAAAACCTTGACTCCTAAAAATGCAATGTCGGCGGGTTCAGGTCTGAACGTCGGAACGTCAGGTAGTTTTACTTGATCCTTGACTCAGACTTTGGACAACAATTACTATGATAGTTATTTTTTGACAATGTTATTCAGTGAATTAATATTTGACGCGTTTTTGTGCAACACTCGCTTATTTGCTGTACACTACGCAACCGGAGCTTTGGATAACGAGAGAAGTTTTTAATTGAAGTGTGAACAGCATCCCGGTTACTCGAAACTGGCACGAGAATAAACCTTTGTCATTGTTGTTGGCAGTTCCTGAATATGGCGTCGGTGTTCATGCGGATTTTTAACCTGATTTGCATGATGCTCCTAATCGGCCACTGGAGTGGCTGCCTACAATTCCTGGTCCCCATGCTCCAAGGGTTTCCTAGTAACTCGTGGGTCGCCATTAATGAATTACAAGTAAGTAATCCGACGACGTTCCTCGCTCTTTCCGAAGCTAATTACAGAGCAGAGATTTTTTAGTTTCAGTTAAGTTTCGTTCTACTTATGTAATACGTAGGTATTAAATAACACGCTCTTAAATTTAATGAAATTAGGTACTGACTAATGACAAGGATACCGTGTCGGTAAAAGAAAAGATTGATTATCGCTTTATGAATTTAGAGGAAACAGTAAGCAATCGTCTGTTTGAAAGAATTCAATTAAAATGTTTTAGGGTATAAAGGGGACAATAGTAGAGTCTGAAAGTCTTTTTTTCTTCCACTTTTCACGATTTCTTTCCTTGTGTACGACCAATTTCTTTCGCTCCTACGGACGAAAAGTTTTAGAGAACAATGCGCAGCGCGGAGTTCTCTAAAACTAAAAACAAGAAGAGGATCCTAAGCTCCTTCTTTCACCCTTTGAAATTCTCACCGTGCTAATGGCTTTCTCTTTTCTAATGACTCTATTCTATCGTTATCCTCTAATTTGGAATACTTTATTCAGAAACAACAGAGAAAGAGTAAAAAGAAAACAATGGCTCTTTCAAACTCACAGATACTTATACGATACGATTAAAAAAATAATTGCTCAGCCGCAGTTTAAGATGCACAGTAGATCGTAATTTTTTCTAGGACTCGTTTTGGCTGGAACAATACTCATGGGCTCTTTTCAAAGCCATGTCGCACATGCTTTGCATAGGATATGGAAGGTTTCCACCGCAGTCCCTAACCGACATGTGGCTAACCATGCTCAGCATGATCAGCGGGGCTACCTGTTACGCACTTTTCCTCGGACACGCGACGAATCTCATTCAATCACTCGATTCCTCCAGAAGACAATATCGCGAGAAGGTAGTTAGCATTAATTCCCACCACCATCGACGAGATCAGATTTTCAACATTCAATTAAATGCGAAAGTCCATTTGAAAAATCAAGTTTCGATGACTATGAATTAATCGTTCTTCGACCGACCAGGTGAAACAAGTAGAGGAATATATGGCCTATCGAAAGTTACCGCGGGAGATGAGACAGAGGATCACAGAATACTTCGAGCACCGTTACCAGGGCAAATTCTTCGATGAAGAATTGATCCTTGGAGAGCTCTCGGAGAAACTGAGAGAGGTACGAATGAGAACAAGTGTCTACGTTCTGCTATACGGTCTATCGGTTTTCTCGCCGGTTCCAACTCTTAACCCGTCGTTTTCGGTTCGTTCCAGGATGTGATTAACTACAACTGCAGATCGTTAGTCGCGTCCGTGCCATTCTTTGCCAACGCCGATTCGAACTTTGTCTCGGATGTCGTTACCAAACTAAGATACGAAGTCTTCCAGCCAGGTATTTGTCGATTTAGCTCTTTCGTCGTTTGTTCCGATTGACGCCTGTCATGAGCTTCCAATTAGTTCCAACTGATTAAAAATAAACTTTTTAATCCATGTTTTAATTTTATTAATCTTAACATATAGTTAAACAATATTTAGTTTAAAGTAAAACAGAGCGACCAGTTTAGATTCTGAGCGTGTGGCTCATTCGAAGCTTGAAAATCATTTTATGTAAGATAATGCGGGAGTGATTGAAAATTGCGTAGGTGATATTATCATCAAGGAAGGTACGATCGGCTCGAAAATGTACTTCATACAAGAAGGCATTGTCGATATCGTGATGGCGAACGGGGAGGTCGCAACCTCGTTATCGGACGGCTCGTACTTCGGCGAGATCTGTCTGCTGACGAACGCGAGGAGGGTGGCCTCGGTTAGGGCCGAGACCTACTGCAATCTCTTCAGCCTCTCGGTGGATCACTTCAACGCCGTGCTGGACCAGTATCCGTTAATGCGCAGGACGATGGAAAGCGTAGCCGCCGAGAGGTATAAGCTTTGGTTAGGTTTGTTCTATCGAGTTGGTGTGCTAATAGATGTCAATCATCACTCCCACTTCCATGTTGATTTTTTTGAACATTGTGTACTGTCCGACAAAGCGAGTTCTGTCAGTCATTGCTATTATTATTATTATTATTATTATTATTATTATTATTATTATTATTATTATAGATACTGTTACGACTATTTTCTATAATTTCTAGCATTATTATTATTATTATCGTTAATCTCGATCTTATTGTTATATCGTTGTTGTCTAAAAACATTTCATAATCGCTTCTCTTTCTTCGACATATCTGAATTTGATTCTCGTTATATTTGTTTCTTTGCTACTATTACGACGTAACTTTCTTTCGTTCTTGTATTCTTCTCTGGCTGGATTCTCGATCTCGATGTGCTTTGTTTTACATACACTTTACACACACAAAAGATGAAAATAAAATATAGGAATTGAGAGCCAGTTCCTCGTTTCTTCGACAGATTGAAGGATCTCTCTTATTGAACGTGACAGTGCAGAATCTATTTGCTATATTGGGGAGAAAGAAGTTTTACGACGAAAAAGCGCACTAACTTGCGAACCGAGGGGTCGAGTATCAGTTTGGATACGCGTCCCCGAAAATCCAGTTTCCGATAAATGTTGTTCCCGACGCGTGGTTTCCTGTTCGGCGAGCGATTTATGCACCCTCGTTCAGTGGGTCTACCGTCGCGAGCTCGAAATCACAGCGGTGTTCGAAAAGAAAGAATGGAAAGCTTGAAACCACCGCGACAAACTTACTTAATTTCACACTATCGACACAATTCACTTACATGTATTGTAATGTTGTATTCATGATTTTGCAAACATACTTTTCTAAATGAGTTTTGAATTTCTCGGTTTTGCCGCATCTCCGCAGAGTCACATTTATTTGATTCTGTTCCAGTTAATCAGTTGAAAAGCACTTGATTGGCATCGGTCTAGCGATTTCCTTTTAATTAAAATGCACCGATTATTTTCCTTATTAAATTTCGTCAAATTGACTTTTGTTACATTTCAATAGAGACATTTAAGTTCGTACAATTGAACGATTTAACCCCTCGACTGTATCGACATTTTGATTTGCAAGTGTTATGGAATTAATAATCATGCTTTATTTAATAAATTTCATTAATCTCATTTATTAACACCAAATTATTAAACAAGACCAACACGTGACAATATCGACATTACTAATTTAATAAATGCAAATAGAATTAACTTTAATGACAAATAACAAAATTTTAATACCAATTTCACTAATAGTAACAAATAGCAAATGATCGATTGACTTTTCACTTGGGAGGGGTTAAAACGATTAAACTTTACTATGCACCGACGAAAATGTGATTCTGCGGGGCCTTTCAAAGCTACTGACTCTTTCTTTTACCCAGTCACATTGTGAAACCTTTAGCGGTGCAAGTGGTATATTAGAAACGAACAATTATAACGAAATGTCTGTTACAAGTCAAGTTGCAGTGGTAATGAGTTTCTTTTAGGGATTATGTTACCTGTTCACTGCTAAACGGTTTGTAAGTCGATCGATGTGAATAATTCGTTGGTCGTGTTCCGTGCAACATTCCCTACGCTTAATTGTGCTATCCCTATAGGTTGAACAAAATCGGCAAGAACCCGAACCTGGTCGCACACCGCGAGGAGGACCTCGGCAGCGAGTCGAAAACGATAAACGCCGTGGTGAACGCGCTCGCGGAGCAAGCTGCACACGCTAGTGTCAGCGAAGAATCGGTAAATCACATTTCTTAATAATATTAATACTCTTCTTAATTTTCGATATTAAATTCTTATTATTGTGCTATAATATCACTTGTTAATTATATCGAAACATACTAGTTCTTTCCTTGATCTTAGTTGAATGAAAAGATAATAGGACGAAAAATGATTTGTAATTATAGGTACACAGCATGGAGCTGAGGACCCTTCCGACTTGCCTGTTGCCCAGACCGAAGTCTGAGAACAACTTCGCCAGTCAGGAGCTCTCCCGCGAGGGGCGACGGGTCTTCCACAAGAGCGACACTTTCCACAAGGACTCGTATCAATGACGACACTCGTTATACTAGCATACAGAGAGATACTAACGGCTCCATGTTCGACAGTGGCCGCGTACACTGTCGAACGGATCGTTGGCGCCGATTTTAAGCCTGGATCCTGGACGCTACACTAGAAGCAGTCTATACGTAGTGATACGCAACGCCAGTAGTCTTCTAGCGATCGGTTTCTAGCGCCTTCTTATTATTATTAACCCGACGGCACACGTTCCGGTCCAGGATCTACGCCTAAAACCGTGCAGGCCAGACAGTATCCCGTTGTCTTCTCCGACGGTGGCACAGCACGAGGGAGCAAGAATCTCCGTTTCGAAGAGGCCATCTTTTTTCCCCTTCGACGAGACGTTCAACCATAACAGCAATAAATACAAAATACGATACGAACGAACGAAGAAAGAACATTATGGGATGGAGCTCTGATTTGAAGGACGCGCTGATCAAACTGATAGAAGAAGAGGGAAGTTTAATGAAATGAGAAGAAGAAGAGAATCAGATCGGCTTAGGCTGTGTCATCGATGGAGAACACGGAGCCGTTAATTCCTGCCGCGAGTCTCCTTCATCGACGACGGCGTCGCGATAAAAATGCGAATAGAATTTAAATGCGACGACAGATGAAGACCTCGACGACGACGAAGAGCAGGCCTAGAAGTTTATAGAGCAAACGTAGCCCATCGTGGACTAGGTAGAAATTAAAAAGAAACCTAAACGACAGTGTATAAACTAAAAAAAACGATGCGTATAATTCTCTGTGATTTTGCAAAAGCTGATACTTCGCACTTTAGGGAGAAGAAATTTGCAAAGAGCGGAAAAGAAAGAGAGAAGAAGGGCGTAACTTCTATCCATGAACGATTAGTATTCTCTTTTTTGTTTTTTCTAAGACAACTAACACGAAAGAAGAGAATCGACGAAGAGCGTACTCGTGAAACGAGAGATACAATGCCAGTTATAAATTTGTTAACGTGTTTTAACTTTAGCTTCGTTGAATAGTATCGTGCAAGTGATTGAGAGAAGAATCGAGAAGAAGAATGATAACAAGAAACGTGCAACTTACCGGAAGTTAGTAATCGAAAGTGGAAAACGTTAGGTGGAGGAGAGAAGAAAGAAGCAGATGCCTCATTTATGACGGCTGATCTAGCCTAATTTCGATTAATCAGGGGAGCATGCCTGCAATTCGGAACTCGTTTCTTCGAGATAGCTCCTGATTTATTTTCAAAATGCGTAAAAGTTAAAAAGAATCATCTCGAGTTTTCTTCGGGAATGCAACGGATAGGTAAACGCTAATTTCGTACACGAGTTCTGTTCAATTAAATCAGAGTTTAGGAAGACCGTCCTGAGACGCGAAGGGGGAATACTCAAAGCATGGGACGACAGAGCGAAAAGAGGGATGGGAGGGTGAAAGAGTTCAAGTCGTTCTACGGAAGAATGGAAATTAATATTATAGGGAAATTCTGAATCGGGAGGCCCAAAGATCGTGTTAACTTGTTGAGTGTTCTTTGGGCTGCCGGAACTAACATTAAACAACAAATAAAACGTCAATGAATGTGAGGTAAGATTTAAGTGGAACGAGCGAGAGAGAGAGCGAAAGCGAGAACGAAAGAAAGACAAGTAACTTTTTATTCGGGCGAGAGACACGATGTACTATAATAGAGAAGCGAACAAAGAAAACAGGAGAGAAAGCTATACATATTATGTAATAAATTATTATTATTGTTACCGATTATCAGTGCAATGATTATTACATCCACTACCGTATAAAAAAGAGAGGAAGTAAATATACTAGGCAGATTAAATGAAAATAAAAACTATGACGTAAAAAAATGAGAGAACAAATTACACATNGAATTTGGAAGAAATTGAAGGGGTACCCCTTGGAAAAATCTCGGAAAAATCGAAAATTTTTTTGTTGTTGTTTATTATTAGCAATATTCTTCCGACGTCTGATTTCTTTTTGAAAAATGTGTTTCTAAAGTGCATAAACTTTTCGGATTGACCGTATAGCCAATACATCCTTAAGAAGAATTCCGAAACGATGCAATGAAAAGGGATCCACGAATCACTGATTGACGTATTAATCGAACGTAGTTCGCATCCGTTAACGATAATACTCTTCTTTAAACAATTAAAGTGAACGCTCTATAAGTCTAATTTATGAATAGCAACGTTGCCCGTTATTTTGAGATATTATTATACGTATACGCGCATATACTATATGAATATGATTATTACATTATACAGGTTGACGAACACAGGACATAAAAAGCGGAGGCACATACGCAAACACGCAGACAATGGATAAAAGAAACATGCCATCCGTTTCCTAGTTGAACGTGTACATCTTCGTGCATATGTGATCATGATATGCATACAATGTACATATATACATATATAAATATATAAATAATCCACGTAAGAGTCTAGGAATATTATATACATGCGTTTCATACATATACATATGTAAACATATACATACACCTACACACATGCGAGGAAAACAGAAGTACCTATTTTTCATGTAAGAGAGAGAGATAGTTTTCTGTCATTATTTTACATCCCCCCTCACGTCATCCTGAATAATACTATATTATATATACATATAAAAAGAAGATGATAAAATAACTAACTACGATAATGATTATTATTATACATAATGAATATAAATAAGTAAATACATATATATATATATATTGTAATAGCGACGAGAGGACGGTTTGCGTACCGTTTATATATATATATATTATACATACATAAATATACATATAAAAGTATGCATAGTGGTCAGAACTGTGTTGCAACTTTTTGTGTAACGTTTCGAAGTAAAACGCGAGGAAAAGTTGAAACACCGAAAACACCTTTACGAACAGTCTCACATAATACACAGTGACGATCCTTGAAAAAAAGCTGCTTCTCTATTTTTTAGTTCAAGATTGGTCGAACACTTTTCAAAACTGAATAAACATTAAATATATAAGGAGACCGAAGATCGAATTGCATTATTTTTGTAGTTGTTGGCGTACATATGTTTCAGCAATGTTATTTTTTGTCTGTTTGAAAGAGTTTAACACGACTGTTAAATACGCCTGATATTAGTGTATACGTGACGACAGAATATGAAGGAAGAATATGTTTCTGATGAGTGGATCCTGAACACGAGTTTTATCAACGCATAGAGAAATATATGTTTCGTAGCAATCAGATCGTATTATTTTCTAATTTTATTAAGTATATGTTTTTTTATACGAAAACTATCTTAAATCTTTTATTTTTATATTCATTTAGAATACATTTTACTTTCAAATTTTATCAAA